CACAACCTAGGACCGTCAGTGCCCGGGGGACGGAGGGCACATACACCTACAAACTAGGACCGTCAGTGCCCGGGGGACGGAGGGCACATACACCTACAACCGAGGACGGTCAGTGCCCGGGGATGGAAAGCATACCTTTTTGTGAGAATCTTCAATCACATGGTTCCCTCCAGGCTGAACATCTAAAATAATGTTGGGCGGCTGATAGCCTGAAAGAATTAACACAAAAGCAATCATATTGTCAGAAAACTGAGACCCATCTTGCCATCTTCTTTTGAGTATTTCACTCAAATGGCAGAGACAAAGAACAAAGCCACCATACTACCACCTAGACAGGGTAGCAAAGGGTAGAAGGCCAATCTCTACACCTGGGGAAGCAGGACACTTAATGGGCAAGGAAGCTGGGTGCCTGGACTGGCATACAGAGAGAAGGCTCTGACCTGTGACCTGGGGGGGTATCAGTGGCTATGACCTGGGAGGGTATCAGTGGCTGTGACCTAGGAGGGGGTGTCAGTGGCTGTGACCTGGGGGGTGTCAGTGGCTGTGACCTAGGAGGGGGTGTCAGTGGTTGTGCCCTGAGGGGTGTGGTCAGTGGCTGTGACCGGGGGGGGGGAGTGTCAGTGGCTGTGACCTAGGAGGGAGTCATTGGTCTGTGGAACCTGGGAGTCTGGGACCCTGGAAACAGCAGCTATAGCAATGCAGAGTGAGAACTAGAGAAGGTATAGGGAGATTCTGACTTAAAGGCAGGTCCCTCCCAATTCCGAACCCAGAACGTGTTAACAGGCAGTTTTAAAACAAAAAGAAGAGTTATTTTTAATCACTTTTTGTCTTTCATTTTTATTTGTATGTGGTTGTGTGAGCTTATGTGCCCCACAGGCATGCAGGATCCGCTGGGGCAGAAAAGGACATCAGATCCCCTGGAACTGGAGTTATAGACAGTTATGAGCTACCATGTGGGCGCTGGGAATCGAACCTGGGTCCCCTAGAAGAGTAGACAGAGTGTTCTTAACCACTGAGCTATTTCTCCAGTCCCAAAGAATTCTTTGTAATGAAAATGAAAGACCTTAAAGCAGCAACAGACTGTCTCAGTAACTGGAACCTGAATCAATCTGTGTGTAGATCTCCAAGCTACATTGGACATTTACTTTTAGCTTTGAGTCCTGCCTGCTTTATTTTAACATTATCCCTGAAGTGCTGAGGTGGTCATAGCTACATGGACATTAGCTGAGGGGTCAGCATAGGCAGGTTTGCCCTGCTTTATTGGCAGATAGTCTGGTCGGTCCATGAGGGCTGCTGCTGGCTGAGGGCAGTCCTGTCAGCCAGCTTCCCGGGTCAGGCGGCCTCCTACCTTCACCTGCTTCCTTGGCGTGCTCCGCAATGGCTTCCTTAAGTTTCTCAGTGTAGTTCACGATTCCTTTAAGAGGTACTCGCTCATCGTGTTCATAAGCTGTGATATGAATCGAGGGGTAATGCTGAAAGAGAACAGATTCATATAGTTTACATTACCCCACGATCCTTTCACCCTGTAGCTCAGAAAAAGAATGACCTTTCGCTTGTGCCCTGCGTGCTAGAAGGGTTTTCTCATCTGAAACTCTGGGTAAGCCTCAGTCCTAAGTGCGAGGCCACCTGCTCTCCAGAGAGATCGTGACTTCATCTAATTGAGTTAGACTGGGTCAGGGATGAGAACACTTCCCCTGAGGTGCTAAACTGAGGCAAACTGGGAATATGGGCAGACATGACACCAAAGGATGTTTAGGTGGCAGAAGCAGAGTGAGCTCTGAGAGCCCTCTGAACTCTCGCCTCAGCTCAGTGAGTGCCTTTCAACTGTCTTCTCCACTGACTGCTCCAGGACAGTAGATCGCACCTGCGGCTCCCTGCACCTGCGGCTCCCTACCTGCGCTTTGATGTTTTGACAGGGGCAGTAGCGTTTTATGTAGTTCTTGTGCTTTTCATCAGACGAAGGATTCCCCCATTCTTCCAGCTCTTCTAGTGTCAGAGGAAGTGTGGTGTCCATCATGGTGTTGAGGACATCCAAGAAAGGTGCCTAGTCAATGAAAAAAAAAGCTGAGCGTATATTGACTCAAGGGTTGCTAAAATGAACCTCACAGTAGTTGACTGCAGAGACACACACCGAGGAGTGAAGAACGCAGCTCAGCCTGAACTAGAGCTGGGAACTCCCAGCTGCCTGGAGAGCATTCAAACTCCAAAAGAGACATTTATAGAACGAGAAAGAAAGTACATCCCAATTTCACAAGTTTTGTTTTTAGCTTGGTGCCTTTTCTATTTTTACTCACACAAAAGTAACAAATACAGCTCTGCACTCATTAGGATGGCGACTATATTAAAAACAACCCCAGAGTAATGGAAACATTTCAAGCTGGCAATGATGCCCAGAAACTGTGCCATCTTCACACTGCAGGCTGGAGTGTAAACGGTTGCTAGTTACTCAAAAGAATGAAAGTGACATTTACCTTTCGACCTGGCAACTCCTTCCCAGATATATAACCCAAGAGCTGGAGACAGGGTCTTAAGTGGAACTAGGTCAGTGTTTAAGCAAAACGTGGTGCAAGCATGCGGATTAGAGCCTGGAACCTCTTGCAATGCAATGTCGGGTCAGCTAAGTGAGACAAGTGTTATCAAAGAGTAAATCTGGCATGAGCGCTTTACAAGAGGTGATGGTGCAGGCGGAGGGCAGGGGGGGTTTCCAGGGGCCGGGAGGGAGGGAGGGAGAGCTATTCCAGGGTATGGGTTTCCGTTTTGAAAGATAAAAATTCAGATCTGGAGACTGACTGCATTAAACAGTAAATATGTTAACAGTATTGAACCTGACACGAAGAAGGGTTCTTTTTAAACCAGGGTTACTTTCCGAGGAAGCCTAGAACGTGTCAAAGTGAGAAAAGCGCCAGAGCACACAGACTGTGCTCCACAGTAAACTCCTAAGTAGTGCTAGATAGGGTCCGGAAAATAGCCACGATAAGAGAAGATGAAAAACATGTACTGGCCTTAATTATTATTGGAACATTTATAAAGGGTAGAGAGAAGGCTTAGCAGTTAAGAGTACTGGCTGGTCTTCTAGAGGACCCGGGTTCAATTTCCAGCACCCACATGGAGGCTTACAACTGTCCATAACTCAGTTTCTGGGGATCCAAAACCCTTTCTTGGCCTCTGAGGGTTCCAGGAATGCATGCGATACACAGACATACAAACAGGCAAAACACCCATACATATAAAATAAAAATAAACACATTTAATTAAAGGAAAATTGCTTTTTTTCATCTAAAATCCTATTTTTTTTAGAGCACATGCTTTCCAGCTTTCTCTCATGGTGCCATTAATGGAGTCTTGGGAGCAGTAATTCCTTCCGGCTGCCCAGCAGGATGACTTCTGAACACAAAGCTGCCAGCCTTGGTAGGAGGGGCCCAGCTCTGCTGCACAAATGGCCATCAAGGAGGATCTACCAGGCACCGTGTGACATCTGTCCAGTTTTCAGAAGCAGCAATAGCAGTGTGAGGTGCTTTGTGCTCAGCAGTGGCAGCTTCACCGGGTCAGTCCTTTCCCTGGCTCTGCAGCCTCTAGCATTGGCTCTGAACACATCTACTCTTACCTAACACTCCAGCAAACCCTTCTGCTTCAGTGAGCCGTAATCTTGGGTGCTTTTAATCAATGACATTGATGCATATATGAACACTTGGTGTTGAATATTTAGGATGTCCCTAATTCTTCACTGTAATAAGCAATTGAAATAAATTCTGGTTATTTCTAATTTCTAAAATTCAAGGTTAGCTGCATTTTATATTATAAATGATTCTGTTGTTATTATCTTTGTGGCTATGTTTATTTCCTCTATAATAAATATCTTTTTAAAAACAGATTTCCAGGTCAAATTATTTAAAACTCATTTAACTTACTACATCTTGTTACACACACACACACACCCTGAAAAGTATTACTCTGAACTGCGCAGGCATTATTATCCAGATGTCTAAGGAGGAAGCAGAAGACAGATATGAACCCTGATGCTTCACGTTTTGAACAATAGGAAAGGACTAAAGGTCATTTTCTCAACTGATGGTTCAATCAAAGTACAGGACTAGACCCAAAAGAGCACCGAGAAGGGAGTGTGTAAGCCAGGTGTGCTGGACACACTTAGAATCCCACTGCTTAGGAGGCTGGGGAGGACAGTGAGCATGAGACCAGACTGACTGTCTACACAGCCAGAAAAATGAAAGAAATAAAATAATGGGTTATCTAAAAATAGTCTCTAAATCTAGGAATAAAATGTGGCTGGACAGTACACTGTCACACAGACAAGTCAGAGGACACACTGCATCCAGATTACGGGCGCTCCACCAGACTTCTGGAACCATATGTAACTTTGGCTTTCTAAATGCTGACCAATAGGAAAGGCTCAGTGGGAACAGCCATTAATCCCTCAATGGAAATCCTGCAGGATCCAAAAGATCGTCAGGGAAGAACACACAGTGGGGTTAAGATAATTTCACAAGCTCTCCTAGAGACACAGTTCTGTTTAAACTTAAAAGCTCTGCTCTACCTTAGAACTCATGGATTTCACCTCTGTGGCCAGCGGCCCAGCTGCCCATGCTGAGACCCGCGAGCACTCACCTCCAGAGTCACGGCTCGCAGCAGCTCTGGCTTGGCATTGCACAGTGCTCCCGCGAGCACTCCTCCAGCACTGAAAGCACTCAGAGTTGTCAGGCTTGGCTGAGAAAAGCCTTGACTGTGAAGCGTCTTAATGCAGGCCTCTAGGTCGGCAAGGCCATTGAGTTTTTTAGTTAGACGGCCGTCAGCATGCCACTGGAGGCCCAACTCTCCACCACCTCTGTAGTAGAAGAAAACAAAAACGATACAGTGGAGGTCAGAAACTATATTACAGGCTTGAGCTCAGGATTGTTGTGCCTTTAAAGGCTGGGAGAAAATAGCAAGAAGGAATATCCAACAGAGACTGTCTGGCCTGCTAAGCCTAAACCAGTTTCCATTATAGGAAACAAAATAAAGAGCTGGCAACTGTCAATCAAAAACTGACTTAACAACTGTGTTTGGGCACCTACTGCCTACTTACTACAGACTGTCTGAGGGCAGACTTTCGAGAAACACAATGAGCAGAACTGCCTGTGGAGGAGCTCAGAGGGCCTGAGGACAGCAGACCACAGTCACCAGGCATGCTGGCTGCCACGTGGCACAAGCGTTTAAGCTCTACCTGAGCAGAGGAAAGAGGTTAGGGCATGTGAGTCAGGAGCACAAAGGCACGGGAAACAACACTGGACTGAGCTGTGAAGGAAGTGGGTTCCTGGAAGGAGAAGGAATGGGAAACTGAGACCCAGTGAAAAATGCAGACTTGCTGGGACAGAGCAGAGCATGCCACCTGAAGGCGCGCGGCCAGGCGACCCCACAGACAGAAGCCATGTCACGGGAACTTTACTGAGAAATCCAGACTGTCCTGGAGATAGGAGGCGGAGGAGATTTTAAGCAGAAATAAAATGATAATGCTGTTCCGAGAACAGCTAAAATAGAACAGGAATCAGATGAGAAAAGGAAGCTCAGCTTAAAGAGGCTCTGTTAAAAAAAAAAAAACAAACAACAACAACCTACATTGGCTGCATCGACGAACAAACCTGAATCACAGCGCCTGAAGGGTCATGAGTTTGTGGCTACAAAGACAGAGCCTGTCTCAGAAACTCAAGAGACAGAAACCTGAATTCAAGAGAATACTTGGAAATAATAATGTAACTATCAAGTACAAACATGGCTGAATCTACTCAAAGGTCTGAAAAATTATTCTTTTGCTTTTTGAACCAAACTAATCTGCTATCTGAATCAAGATCTACTAGGCTTAGGGATACATAAATCCAAAATCCACACAAGAAAGTGAGCTTTTGCCCCTTAATATATTGGTTTTTGTTCTTTTTGTGTTCTGGATTTTTTAGATAGGGTCCCTCTATATAGCCTCCAACAGAGGTCCGCCTGCCTCTGCATCCCGAGTGCTGGGGTTAGCGGCTAACGGCATGTGCCACCGCGCCTGGTCCCCTACCATTCTCATCACACTTGTCATCACCGTGTCCTCGCGCTCATCTGCCAGGCGAAGTGGACTGACTCACCTAACATGGCAGTACGCTAAGATCCAGCCATCGTCCACCAAGACCCGCCTCTCAGGCCTGAAATTCATTTTCAGATCCATTCCATACGCTCCATACACATGTACCAAGAGAGGCTTCTTCTGCAAGTCTTCAGAATCCATTTTGTGGAAAATTGTCATCGGCACTAATTTTCCGTCCTGGAAATGAAGAATTACTAGCAGGTAAGGAAACGTCTTTGCTGCTTGTTTCTTTGCCGTGCTTTGCTGTACCTGGACAAAAGCTCTACCGCTGAGCCAACGCCTATGCAAGCAGAGTTTAAAATGACCAGCCCCAGTCTGAAGTGTCATGATGTGCCCTCCCCTGTGTGCCGTCAGGTTTGTGAGCCTGGGATGCCTGCGCACAAAGCTCTGGCTTCAGCTACCCACTGGCCAATAATCAGCCAGCAAAGAGCGCAGGGCCGGCTTAGCCATTGGCACAGCTTCTCACAGCAGGAAATAACTTTGAAAAGCACTCGTCGTTGCCCGGTATTAACTTATGTCTTGTGGGTCAAGACAAACGGCCTACTTAGGTTGAAAATTTTAGTACAACATACTCCCTATGCCCAAGGCTAGATATCGACAATTCTTATCTTTGAATATTTACAAATGTGCTGACTGACCCCAGGAAATGTCAAAATGTTCAACGCTGGTACATCAACTCTTGCTCAGGCCAACTGATGGCTATCTGCATCCTTCAAAGGTCTATAACTATTAATCTAATCAAAGTCATTAATTTATTTTATATGTATGTGTTTTGTCTGCATGTATGCCTGTATCACATGTGTGCAGTGCCCATGGAGTCTGGCAAAAGGTGTCATATTCCTTTGGGCTGGAGTTACAGATGACTGTGAGCCAACATGTGGGTACCAGGAAGAGAATATGGGTTTTCTAGCAGAAACAAACCCTGTCTTTTCTAACTTGTTCTTGGTCATGGTGTTTTATCATGGCAATAGAAGCCCTACCTAAGACAGATGTGTTACTTCTTCAGAAAAGACTGCTTGGCTCTCGCCAGACTAGGTGAAGTCCCTTTACCACACTTCTGGTGTATTCAGTATGCTTTCGTTGTAGCTGTAACGGAGATTTCTTTGGCCTCTTGTACAGCGAAGCCTCCTGACGGCTGGGACTGTACTAGTCTAGTCTACTCTAACCAGCTACTTGCTGTACTCTCAAAGTTATCACCATCAGTGCATACCAACTGTGACTATTTACTCTTTTTATTAATTCAAACAAAAACAAGTGAAATGAAGGGCTTAGCATACAAGTCAGAGATTTTTAAGTCCATGTTAAAAAAATGCATGTTAAAATTAAAAGGAAAATTTATCTATTCTAAAATCATCTGGATCTTTTATAGTACAAGGGACTTTCAAACAGTGCTGATGTGGCCCCGATGACGAGGGATCCGGCATGGTGCACTTGCGGTATCTGATGCGGCCCCGATGACGAGGGCTCTGGCACCGTGCAATTGCGGTGTCTGGTGCAGCCCAATGTCAGGGCTTCGGCACGGTGCACTTGCGGTATCTGGTGAAGCCCCGATGCCGAGGGCTCTGGCACCGTACACTTGCGGTATCTGGTGCAGCCCGATGCCAAGGGCTCGGGCACGGTGCACTTGCGGTATCTGATGTGGCCCCGAATGCCGGTGCACTTGCGGTATCTGGGAGCTGAAAGCAGGGATCACACACCTACCTTGCTTTTGGCTTCCATGCGTAAGACACGACTAGTCTTTGTAATTGGATCTTCATGTCCAGTTTCTTCAAACAATTTGCCTTCTGCAAATTTATATGTGTAATATTTTGGAGGTCGTATTGGCGAGCAAAGCTGAAAGGGGCAGTTCTTTGGGTCAGAATTTGTCTCCATTATGAATCCACAGGCCCAAGGAGGGAGCTGAAGAACAAAAAAATTCCACTAGTTAAAATGAAAGCTTCTGAGTCTGCTCCAAACACAGTGTGGAGACCTACTCTCCATTACTACATGATCATCATTTATGAATTACTTCATTATGAAAACAGATATTAAGTAAACAAATAAAACCACATACAAATTACCAATAAAGGAAAAGAATGTAGGAAATGAGTTTATCATAATCCTAGATTTAAATGAAATTGCTTTTTCACATCAGGTTTATTTGGGATACAAACTTGGGTGATGAAAGAACCAAAGGACTAGGAATAAAAGCAAATGAAATAAGAGTCCTCCCCAGCAACAGCCTCTAGTCCTGCTCTTACAGACGAGAGACCTCGCGTGAATGTTTGCAATGATTTTCCCACCAGTCCTTATCCTGCCGCCTGGACAGCCAGTGATGAGAGTTATTATTCCAGGGCTACAAACGGGCTCAGCAGCACTAAAGCACTTCCAATTTGTTTCTAACTTTAGCTTCGAGGCTAACCATTGTGCAGAACAAAACCTTTCCAGGCACAATGACTTGGAGAGACTCAGAGCTATTATGCTTAAGATTCTTAACTTTAAGAAAAAAGGAAAGGAATCAAAATTTATTCTCTTAGAGCAGCAGGGTCCAGCATCAAGCCTTCCACTAACATCCCACTTACACCTTTTAAACAAGCCTGGTAAGCAGGCTGACAGAGTTGAAAGGGGCCAAGAGTAAGAACGTGAAAAACAAAGTGCCTTTCTCTTTCTGAGTAATTGCAGAAAGAGCAAATTCCTTAGAAAATCAGAGGTCTTGGCACAGCAACATCCCTGGCGGGCACTACTGAACAAGGGAGGAAGGGCTGTGGGGATCGGGAGGACAGAGTTTCACTTGCAGAAACCACGGTCAGAGAGCCCAGTGGTCAGGTGCATTTCCCCAGTGAAAGCTGGGTTTCGTGGCAGAGCTCTACTTGCCTCTCAGAAAAACTTAACTATGACTTTGGAACACACTGTTTCAGCTTTAGGACAACTGGCACCAACAAATCAAAGTCTGGGTTTTTCTAAAACCAAGGGACCAACGTTTAGTCAAAAGAACTGTTCCAAGACCACAGACTCTGAAACATTTGTTCAGCTGATGCAGAAATATTAGCTGTCTCAAGGGTATCGTAAGTCATGTCTCCTACTAAGCTGTAATGCACTGAAAGAAATTTGGCCTGGAAATAGACTCTCCGGCAAAGAAAGCTGATGACAGCATACAGCAAAACATTTCTTGGGCTTGGGAGTGAGGGTGATGTAAGGCTTAGTGGCTAAGTTTACCCAGTGTGCTCAAGGACCTGGCTTTGCACCCTAGTGCTATAATAAAACAACCTCAATTTACTTTCCAGGCATTACAATAAAATAAAAAAATCAAAAAACACTGATGACATGATGACCGATGATAAAAAATTAATACAAGAAAAGCTTAACATTCCCATTGCCAGAGATCATGCTTAGAAAGATCTCTTGGTCAAGTATCTACTAGGCATATGTTATTAACTCCTCACACTGGGCTAAAGGTTTTGTCTTTTATGTAAAGCATGGTCGGTGGGTAGTTATCAGTGTTATCCAGCATCACATAATTATAAAATTACTTTTAAGTAGCACATGGTATGTACTGAAGCATTTGATTCTCTTTGATGAGGACCTAGAACAAGAGTCAGGGCAGAACAGGGGCCTACAGTTTGGAACAGGCCAGAGACTGATGGGATAAACAATACAGCAGAAATTAAAGACAGCATTTGCTGTGAAATAGCAAGTGCGTATGTGGGGGATACCTTTAACTAAGAATACTTATCAAAAATAAGACAAGGTCATATTTACTTAGAAGTCTAGTCGTGGGGGCTGGTAGAGTACTTGCTTAGCACACAAAGCCTTGGGTTCAAACCCTGGCACCACATAAAACCACAAGTGTGGTTGGTGGTCCACGCCTATAATCCTAGCACATGGGAGGTGGAGGCAAGAGGATCAGAAGTTCAAGGCCAGCCTGGGCTATACCAACCCCAATAAATCTAATTTATAGCAGAAAATCTCTATTTGGTATTCCCAGTTTTCTTGATCGATGTAATTGTAATAAATGCATTGCTAGAAATCCCTATTTCTAGACTGCAATGAGGATATATGCTCTCTAACAGCTTTCCAAACACAGCAGACAGAGACAAGAAGGACACCTATACAGACATCTAAGAGATCCAATGTTAAACTTAGCAATTTGATTTTAGGGAGCAACTCAAGAATTCTAATTGTTACAGGCTCCCACTGTAACAATCTTGAATTCATCTCCCTGGTTCATCTATCTGTTTGCTTCAGTCTTTACTAATATAGTTGCCTAATAATCTCATGAAGTATAGCTCCAACACTTCAAACTAAAAATAAGTTTTTTGTTGTTTTTTTTAAATGGGTGTCAGGTCCCCTGAAATTGGAGTTACAGACAGTTGTAAGCTGCCATATGGGTGCTGGGAATTGAACCTTGATCCTCTGGAAAAGCAGTCAGTGCTTTTAACTGCTAAGCCATCTCTGCAGCCCACTAAAAATAACTTGTTCCTGTCATTATAATTTATACAGATTGCTCACACCAGGTAAAAACCATCATGTCATAACTTCACCCTCCAGAAATGTATTCTGCTTTAGCAGTTGGGTCCCTGAAGATATCTGGACTTCAGCTGTGTTTGAATGGCTTTCTCATTCTTGGATATGACATATTAAATTCCTATCTATCCACTGTAGTCTGTCTCTATAGTCTACAAAAGTTTTTCTGAGCCACAAACTCATCCCTTCCTTTAAATTCTACATTTTGTTTTTGAAACCACTTATTTAAAACTAACTTATACTTAATGCTTTTTTATTTGTCTAATATCATAAAAAACTTAATTCTTTAAGACCAGATATTTTATTCTCCTTTTTTACTATTCCACAATGCTGTATATGATATTTTGTACATAGGAATTCAATATAAATAGTCATGGAATTGGCAGAATTGTATCCTAATAGGAATTCTGACAATATTGGAGTGTTATTTAAAAGGACTTAAGCTACCTGCTGGTCAATCCACGCAGTAATTCTTTCCCTCTCAGGCAGAATGAAGGCTGCCTTCTCTTTAGGGCTCTTAACTTTAATTCACTTAATGCTACTTAGAAAATAAACAGTAAGTTTGTCATCCATTAATTTATCAGGTTCATTTCTGAAAGCATTTGATCTTGTCTTGGCAGCCACAGACAGTGTTAACCAGTTAGATATGCTATTATTATCTCTCTGTGCCATGGAGACCACTGGCATCATATACTGAAAGGGAGGAGGTGTGTACCGCATGGAAAACAAAACTGGCAAAGAGAGGAGATGCAGATACAGAATATGGTGGAACTACAGAGATGTGGCTACTGTCCTGGGCAAGCAGCTGTCAGAAGGTCTCGGTTATGTGGAAAGGAAAACATAATGACCCCTAACTCTATTTCTCAGGTTCACTGGTTTAATAAGACTACATTAAAACAAGGTCTCTCAAGACATTCTAATATAAATCTAGACCAGTGTGCTAAAATCCACTTAAATTATAATTCTTTTAAGAAAAGTACATGGCATTCCAATGCTGATGCTCTATTAAGCTGTACTGTGGTTGGTGGGAGCAGATGTACCTTGAGAGAGCGTACGGAGTCATCAGCCAGACCAATCACGTTAACGTAGAGGAGGTTGCTGTGTTTCAGGAACAGAACGCAGTGGTCCTTAAACATGTCCAAGTCTACAACCTTGGTATTTCTCTTCATTGTGAAGAATAAATCCCAGTTCATAATAGCAGGGGCATCAGCTGCTGTTCGCATCAGCTGTATGAACAAGGTTAGAAGAGATGCAGGTGACACAGCACTAAGGCCGCAGCATTCAGGGATGAGAGCACGGAAGAGACCACACTAGCGACTGCTAGTTAGTCTGTATCAGGGGCAAAGTGTGAATGTCACCGTTAGCCCAGGTTAGCGTGCTGGTGAGACAGTGATAGCCATGATAGCCAGCAGTCAACCAATGGACATGGTTGCATTAGTATGCCTGCCTGAGACTAATCCAACTGCCAACTCACAACCGGGAGGTAGACTGTGCTCCTTTAAGCCAACCAGTTTGGTTTTCACAACACAAACACTGCAGAATGTGTCATTTACTGATGTTTTAAGTAGAAGTACAGTAGGTTGAAATGTTATCTCTACGGGAAGAGAAATGATGGAAGAGAAATGGGACTGGCAATGCACAGGAAGGCAGTGTCAATCACACGTTAAACCCCTCCCCCATTCTCTCTTGAAGCAAGGCAGGTTGATGAGAGAAAGCCGGCACTTAACAGCCCATCCCAATGGGAACACGCAGAATGGAGAACTACCTTGAATTCTGTAGGTTCTCCAACATTAGTGAGGATGTATAATTCATCATCTCGATGTTCGACATAGTAAAGGACCCCATGTATTCTCTTCTGAATCAGCACTGGTGGGTCCCAAGGGCTCAGGCCGTCTATCAACCACACCTCAGAAGTCATCTTGTTCATAATATTGAGGGTGAGGAAACGACTGTCTTTTGTAAGATAAAGGAAAACAAAATAGCTGCAAAGGAAGAAAAGCACAGGACCGCATGAGTTATTACTGTACTGGCTGCAGACATGGGTTTGGGTAGGAAACTCTACTTTCCCACTCTGGAATATTATTAGCTGTGAGAGTGGTTAGCCTGACACTGTTAAACCTCCGTACATATATTTAAATAAAGGGTATGCTTAGACGTAGGAACGAGAGCTGGAGCTGAGCTATAAACCCTAGAAAACATTTGGAATCAGTGGCATCATTTGGAATGATGTCACTGTCCGATCCTGAAGCATCGCAGGTGAAATATTACAATATATTAAAAACTGAACAAGAACTGCTTTTGGAGGGCTAGATGGGTGACTCAGCAGTTAAGAGTACTGGCCACTTTTCCAGAGATCTGGGTTCAATCCCCAGTACCCACAATGTAGCTTACAACTGTCTATAACTCTAGGTCTAGGGCATCTAATGCCCTCTCTTGGCCTCTGTGGGTCCTAGGTATGCATGGCTACACAGACACACATGTAGGAAAAATACCCATACAATAAAATAAAATTTAACAAGGAAAGACCTGGATGGAGGGGAGAGGTCCTTGGACTTCCCACAGGGCAGGGCACCCTGATTGGATTGGAGAGAGAGGGGGAGTAGGGGGAGTGGGAGAGAAATGGAGGAATGGGAGGGGGCTGAAATTTTTAATAAATAAAAAAAAATCAGTTCTGTTCTTGGTGAACAGTATTTCTGCCAGGAAAAAAAATGTGTGCATGTATGTGTGTGTGTGTGTGTGTATGTGTGTGTGTGAGAGGGGGATGGTGCTGGGGAGGAATGAATGCTGGCTATTCAGTGACTTACAAATCAGATTTTTTAATTTAGCATAGACCTTTCCCTTCAGAATTTACATAATGCAGTGTTCATTTAAATATATGGATTTTATGCTCTAGAAATAGAAATATTTGAAAACAAAGTCAATATTTAAAAAGGAATAACCTTTAAGAATATATTAGTAGGCCCTTGCCTGGACATGATTTAAGAGATATTCTCCCATCAAAATGAAAAATTGTTTTTAAGTAACCAACAACTGAAGTACTGAAAATGAAAATGATAAAAACCTTGGCTCTTTATGGCCATATTTATAATTTTTTCATAATCAGGTATTCCATATTGATAGAATTTGGCAAACTCTACAGATTAGTTCCAGAAGGCAGAATAAAATAACAATTTTCTTCAGTTCTCAACACTTTGAGACAACAGGACCAGCACTTGAGAAAACGGGGACTACGCTGGAGAAGAGGGCGTGACTGCAGTGCTCTGGCACCTTGGGTCCTTTTCTGTGTAGAAACGCTCGTTACGTTTGTTGTCACCAAATGTGGCTCGATATACGTCATGGCAGCGAAGGTTCCGCTGGAAGGTGTAGAATAAGACATCTTCATCTTCCTCATCCTTCACCCATTCTGAAAGGGAGGAACGAGAGGAATTAGACACACCTACCTGCATATTGTTTAGAAAGGTGGAACACTCAAAGGTTGCCTGCCAACTGCCAGGTGAAGAAATGTGTATATAGCATAGCCCTGGAAACCTGTATATAGCATAAACCTGGCTGAATCAAACCCGTGTTTATATATAAGTCAGAGAACATACATAAAACACCACTACTGCGGTCCAAGTTTTCAATTACTTAGTCTAATCAGCCACCTAAATAAAAATCCATAATCTTCAGTATTAAAAAAAGATATTGGTAAAGTCACATTTGCTTTTGGGAGATGGCTGGTTAATTGAAGAAACACTGATCACTTTCTCTCCCACTGTGTTTAATGTCTGCTTCCAGGGTACAGACAGCTCAAGCTACCGAATGCATTTTAGCAGGGTCCTTCCTTTCGCCAGAACCTGTCAATGGAGATTTGCACACAATTACATCATGACTGCCACCTGGCTGACAGTCACTGTAAGTCATTACTATATTATGTGAACTCTGATCTTAGAGGTTTGATGCAAAAATGTATTTCTTAGACTTCACTATGCAGGGGCTGGGAGAAACATGGGTACCTGAGTCTGACTCTCCAGCACTCACAGAAAAAGCTGTTCATGGCTGTAACCCCAGGACTTCCCGGGGCAGGGGTGGGGGTGCTGAGAGATGGATCACAAGGGCTTCCTTGCTAGTCAGTCAGCTTAGTCAAAATGGGAAGCTCCTGGCTCAGCGACAGATTCTGTCTCAAAGCAGACAAGGATGAGGCAGGGGTTGATGGAGGAAGATGCCAGCGTCTTATTCTGGTCATTGCATGAGCAAGCATGGATACCTACACCTGCACACTCACATGCATGTAACACAGATGCAGACAAAGACAAACAGATACATGGTGGAGGGGGAGAGAGAGAGAGAGAGAAACAGAAAAACAGGATAACTCACTCGTACATACAAAAGAACGCATTGGTAGAATATCATTTCAATTTTCAATTCAATGCAAAAGCATCTACTTAAGCAATTCAGAAACTAATGGCAACGTAAATGGAAGACAAAGTGTGACCACATTCAAGATGATAGATAATAAAATCTAAAGTTAAATCTACTACTAAAATGCCAGCTTCCATTGATGTCAGCTCAACATGTTCCAGTTTTCAGGTGTGACTCTGAGAAATGTGCTATAATGGATCTCCAGGATAACATGTAATAAAAAATAAGCAAGTTTAAACTTGAATAAACTATCAGAAGCAGCATCTGCAACACTTTAGGCGTCATGATAAACTGGCTGAGAATTACTCTAGAACAGAATATACATGTGGAACTTAGATTAGAAGTGTCTCAAAAACATGAACACTGCTTTATTTAAGATCTGCTTTATTTACTTTATTTATTGGTGAGTGTATGAAGTGTGTGTGAATACAAGTGTGTGTGGGTCGTGGTGCACGTGTGAAGGTCAGAAAACAACTTTCTGGAACTGGCTGTCTCTTTTCACCATGAGTTCTGGGGCTTAAAATCAGGCCAAGCATGTGGCAAATGTTTTTACCCACAAAGCCTTTTGTCCGTTCAAGAAATATTTTTTTTTTAAATTTCTATTTATGTATATGTATGTGTATCCATGTGGGTCTCTGTTGGATCCTCCAAGAGTTAGTTTAGAGTTACAGGTGGTTGTGGGCTGCCCCGCATGGGCACTGAAAACTAACCATGGGTCCTCTTCAAGAGTAATATACGTGTTCCAAGCCACTGAGCCATCTCTCCAGTCCCCGAGCATAATTTTAAAGTGACCCACTTAGACAGATAATTAAAGCAGGGAGTATTTCACAACAGAAGTCCATAGGAAGAGATGGAGTCCAGAGAGATGGACCAGGCCCTGATCATCAACATCTCCTTCCCTACCACGGGCTAAAGACTTTTAGAAGTGCGAGCAGCTCGCTATGGCTGCCTTTTCAAGGGGCTTGACTTGGGGCTTACCAAAACTGGACACGTTGGGGAAAGATGCTTCCATTACAGGCTGATCGCTGAGCTTCACAACTATGCAGGTGGATGTTTCTGAATCCTCAGTCCTTATCTTGGCAGCCACGTATTTCTCATCGGGAGCAACTCTGATACAATCAATGAAGGGTTGGTCCAACTTGAGTTCCTCCAGGTTGAACAAGACTTCATAATTATCACTGTCTGCTGCATAAAGGTAGGCAGGGATAGAACTCTATAACATATACTTGTAAATGTTAGCATTCCGAAGCCAAATACTGATGTCCTCCTACACTCATTACTTAAAAATATTTTATGCAATACTCTTCTATGTATAAATCTATGAGCTATTACAGCAGTCTGGTATAGTGGTTCTCAATCTTCCCAGCGCTGTGACCCACAGTTCCTCATTTTGTGCTGACCTCCCCAACCATAAAATTATTTTACTGCTACTTCATAACTGTAATTTTGCTACTGTTATGAATCAAAATGTAAATATTTTTTGGAGACAGAAGTTTGCCAAGGGAGTCGCAACCCACAGGTTGAGGAGTGCTGGTCTAGTATTTACAGACTACAGAATTGACAAAGAAAATACAATGATACACATAATGTACATGAAGTACCTAGCACTGAGACACAGAACATATATAAAGCATGCTAGAGGCTACCCCCACGCTCTGTTAATGCTTGTCAGTGTGGTTTTTAACACCAGTTTAAGTTGACCCAGATATTTAGAACTAATCATTTAAAAAATTTAGATATAATCTTTAAGAAATCTATTCTAATAGCTTTGAACAACTACTATGAAGCTTCCTGTTCAAATTACCTTCTTCGTCTTTGGAACGAACCAAGCAGCAACCTTCTTGATAATAAACAAAACCGCCATGCTTAATCTGACAATGAAAAGAAACATGACTTACTTACAATAACTTAATGTTTTTTTTTTTTTTTTTGAGACAGGGTTTCTCTGTGTAGCTTTGGGCCCCATCCTAAAACTCGCTCTGTAGAACAAACTGGCCTCAAACTTACAGAGATGCTCCTGTCTCTGCCTCCCAAGTGCTGGAATTAAAGACACGCACCACCACCACCCGGCTTACTTAGTTATTTAATAGTTTGACTACTTCAGATGAAGAGATGGGACCTATCATATCATAAGAGGCAGATCTACTGAATAGGAAATAGGAAATGGACCATTTCTACAACACAGGAAGCAAGAAACAGCTTTCCTACATTCAGAATGGCTGGTGATTTCTAATATGCAGATGCAAGAGCTAAAAAATCTATACTCATTCATCTAATATTTGTATAGTGGAATTCAATTGACGATGTCAAGTGGCATCTTTAAAATGGGAAAACTGTGGCAAGTTTGAAATGCCAATCAACATCCTGGTACCCTTGCTTCAAAATCCCTGCCATCACCTGTGCAGCACTGGTTGATTTTATACCAGGTACGCTGTGATGAGACAAGGTTTGAGGTCGAGAAATGAGCATTACAGGGCTCTTGTGAGTGCTAAACATTCCAGGGCTCTTGTCTAACACACCTTAACTGTGAGTGATAAACATTCCAGGGTTCCTCTTGTCTAACACATCTACTGTGAGTGATAAAAATTCCAGGGTTCCTCTTGTCTAACACATCTACTGTGAGTGATAAACATTCCAGGGTTCCTCTTGTCTAAGGTGAGTGCCGGCTTACTTGGTTTCAGGTGACATATCTGGAAGCTGGAATTGTCACCACTCTGTAATTTACTATGCATGCCATTTTCACTTATAATCTCTGGCCTGTTTTCCAGTCTTACTGAAAAGATTTTCAATCTCTTTGTTCAATTTATTTCAATTGAAAATTTATGATTTATAAATATAAAGTGACTAACTGTATATTTTGCTTTACTACAGTGACTTTCCTTTTATAAAAATGTGGACACAACATGTAGATATTTTTGGAATAGTAAATAAATGAGGCTTTATATATATGTACCTCCTTGGAACTGCTACAAATCTACACTGGAACTGTTATTCTCCAACATTTACCCAGAATTCATCTATCATGCTTCATGCTTTATCTTAAGTTCTAATTTTAAGAACATTTTGTCTATTTAAAGTTGAAATGCTCAGCATGCTGAGAGGACACATGCAACAAGACTGTGATGTTATGTCTACGAATTACAAGGTAGTTCGTTTGCCACTGAACTGACAGTATATATGGTTCTCACAGAAGACTCAGCGCAGCTTACCTCAGCATTGATGATTTCATATTCTTCCTGGGGCTGAGTTTCCAATTTTGTTCTCACTTTTTCAAATGCATCCATGCTTTCAGAATGGGATTTTTCGTCTTCTGGCTTAATAGGCAGAAGATCCTAGGAACATTTTTGGTGGTATGATCAAAAATCTTCAAACTTAGGGAGGTGTCTTTGCTTCTTGTAATTATACTTTTTATTTTTAACACAGGTACCACATCAAGATATTTATGAAATGGGTTTTTACAGATCTTATTCTTTCTCAAGCCATGAAAAGGAAACAGACACGACACAGTATAACAAGGGTGTGAGTCCTTAAGACACTCCTAGTAGCACTAAGAAGCCTGGCCAATCAGAGACACTGTACACAGCCAGAGAGGGAAGATGCGCAAGCACATCGTGAAAGGAAGGAAATATCAGAAAGGAAGACATTTCTTAGCTGATAGATGTTGGCTATTAATTATTCATAGAACAATTACAAAATTTATTCTATTTTATTCCCACAGTTTCTTATGTTGTTGGGATATGTAACTCTATAAATAGAACTGTTATTGGATCACAAAGTTAAATAGCAGCTCATAACAAAGTTTTCCTTTTTTGTTGTTAGCTTGTTTGTTTGTTTTGAGACAGGGCTTCTCTGTGTAGCCTTGGCTGTCCTGGAATTTACTCTGTAGACCAGGCTGGCTTTGAACTCAGAAATTTGCCTCCTCTGCTTCCAAGTGCTGGGGTTAAAGGTTTCACTACCACCTAGCTCCTGCATCCTGTTTAAGGGATAGCTTATTATAAAAAAGGAAGGAAAAGCAATGGAATGTAATAACATTTAGTAGACATGGAGAAGAATCTACAGAATCACCCACTGTGCCTTATTCGGGGCAGTAAGCTAGGCATTCTGGCCACCTCCTGGTGAGCAGGAAAGTACTAGATAAATCATCAATACTTGAATAAGGCTAAACCTAAAACTGCCAAAGTTGGAAAAAAGCCAATAATTCAAAGGCCACTGCCTTGCCTTGCTTAAACAAAAAAAAAATTTAGTCAAGATGCCTGATTCTTCAGCTCTCTGCTAGAGACGACAGCTGCACAGCGATGGTGCCAGAGGGGCACCGAGCCATTGGGGAGGACCCCAGCAGCCGGAGATATCTAATGCTCAAGTATGTTTATGGTACTTTACCCGACCTGTTGGGGAGGACCCCAGCAGCCGACAGATATTTACTGCCTAAGTATGTTCATGGTGCTTTACCAATCATGCTCAGAATGTAAGCTACATATGTTGTTTATATAGTAATGAGTTTACAACCTAAAAGTAAACACAACAAAACAGAGAATTTATCAAGACGGTCTAAATGGACAATAATCCTTTTAATAGTTATTCTTTAAATTTTGGGGGGATGCTTTAATGATTTGTATTAGATTCATTACAGTTGTTATGGTAATCTCAATTTTCAGCATCAACTTTCTTGCAAAATTATTATGTATTTATTTAATGTTGTGGGCCATGCAGGTTAGAGGTCGACTTGTGGGAGTCAGTTCTTTCCTTCACTCTGTGGAGTGAGCTCAGGCGCTATGTCTTGGCAGCAGGCACCCACTAAGTCATCTCCTCAGTCCCTCAACTTCTACTTTCAATCATACAGTTGATTTTTGAGTAATTACTTGCACTCAAAATAATGAAGGTTTTTCACATTTATTTTCATTCATGTTTTTGCATTTTTATAGTGTCTATGGCTGATATATCAACAGCCCTCCACTATTGCCTACAGCATTAAATTATAACCCAGAATATCACTAGAAATCTGTCTTGAAACTCTACCTTCGCATATGAGAAGACTTGAACCTGAGCTTACTTGAATCCAGAGAATACTTAACGCCTAACTGAAAAGATTTTCTTTTTTTAGAGTCTCATGAATCTCCGGCTGGGCTTACACTTGCTGTGTGTGGAAGGTGACCTTAGACATCCGATCCTTTACCTCTAGAGCGCTGGGATTACAGATGAGTGTCATCACTCCCAGTCTGTGGTCTGGGAGTCTGAGCCAGGGCCCTGGAAATGCTCAGCAATCTCTCTATCACCCGCCCCATCTTCATTCCCATGCCTACTGAAATCTTAAGTTCCATGTATGCTATCACTCCATCAGAAGCAAAACCCACCATTTACCACTTTCCAAAGGGCCCAACATAAAACCCACCTAACAATGAAAGGTATTAACAAATATGCAACTTTATTATGGCAAAAATGTTAAACTTTCAAGACAAGAAAGCTTGAAGTAGAAAACACTGAATTGAAGATGAGATCATTAATAAATGGCCAATTCCAGACCTAGGGTAGGGAGAGCACAAGGTAGGCTTGGCAAATCTTGTACCACAAAGGCAGTGTTCCCAGGACAACAAAGGCATGTCAACAGGACACAAGGGACAGTATGAAGGGGTGTTCACTAGCCACATGTGGGATAATTTGAGCATCAAAAAGAAGAACAGCTAATTAGTTAAAATGCACTGAAAAAGTAAACTCCACAAACAAGCAAATAAAAAAAACAAACCTTTGGATCAAATAAAAATTAAAAGAGAAAAAGAACCTTGAAGAAGCAGGGTCTAGCTGTGTAGCCTTGGCTGTTCTGGAACTTGGTCTGTTGACCAGGCTGGCCTTGAACTCACAGAGACTGGGATTAAAGGTGTGTGCCACCATTGCCTGGCAAAGAAACCTTTCTTTACAGAAGAATAAAACTAGCTAGACAATGTGGGAAGTGTGACAGGAGGATCATTTGATGAGTTCTGGTGAAATAAACAGGACTGAAATCATCAACAGGTAAACTCACTGGGCAAGAATAACGCACAACACCCACACAGCACCAGAGTTTCTGTTTACAGAAAGAATAACGTTCCTGTAGCAACAGAGACAACTGGCAGCTAATGTTTCAGTCAAATCAATCATTAGTGAGACACACGGACACGGCATCTCCATTATAGGAGACTGAACTCATAGTGGGACACACGGACACGGCATCTCCATTAGAGGAGACTGAAAAGTAAAGTCAAAGTAAAGAAAAATGAGAAAATTAAGAAAATCATTCCCCATCCCCAGAAAACTATAAAAAAGGTAAATGTATAATAAAACTGATCAAGAAAAAGACAAAGAATATTAGATATGAGACTCATGGTATAATTAGTTATAATAGAGATTAAAGACATTTTAAATATAGCTTATTAATTATTTGAGAATTTTATACATGCATTTAGCTGTTATTTTGATAAGCTTTATCGATCAGATCCACCTCCACTTCTCCACTCCCTCCCAAGTTCATGTGCAAGCCACTATTTTATAACCCACTGACACCGCATCTCTGAACTTCATAGACTCCTGAGTGTGGCAGACCATCCACTGGGACAGGTTCCACCTAACATGGGCCACACCTTAAAGAAAATGAGCTCTCCCCCAGCAAGCCATCAACTCTCAATAGATCCTCAGGTAGGGGAGAGGGCCTGTGTGTCCCTTGCTCTCTGTGCTAAAATACTGTCTGGCTTGATTCTGTGCGGGCACTAGAGATACTGTGCGCTCATCAGTGCAGTGCTCCCAAAGCTGACTCAGGACATAAAAAAGCTACACCAGGAAATAACTATACAAAAGGTAGTAAGTATTTATATATATATATATATATATATATATATATATATATATATATATATGAATGATACCATGGCCAGATGCTGTCAAATGTACCTTTCTTGAACTAGCTATGGTGGCATATGTCTATAATCTGAGCACACAGAAGGATGAGGCAGGAGGATTTTGAGATAAGTCTGGGCTATATAAAAAAAGCTTGTCTCAGCTATTTATACTTCCCTCAACTCCCCCTCCCCCAGCCCCATAATCAAAGGTTAAAAAAAAATCCCATTATCAACTATTTAAGAAAACAGGAAAAAAGACAGAATTACTCAATTTACTTTATTAGACTAATATAACCTTGACTTTAAAACTCAGTGACAATACAAACGGAAGACTCTTCTGACTGCCTAAAACCCTCTGCATGAGATGTCTCTGTGGTTTGCCTCTTTCCGTCTTACTTGATGTCTATGCTCACACACCATCCTGTCTGAGACCAACACTTACCATCTTATTAAATATGTGCTTTCTTCCATTCTCTGCCCCCATTCTTACTTTTTTTGTTCTCCACTGTACTGATCTCTTACAATTCACTATGCTTTTTGTTTCAGAAACCAAAGTTCTCTTAGCCCAGGCAGGCCGTGAGTGTCCCTTTATGCTATGTAGCTGAGGATGACCATTGCTGGGTCAGCCTGACTCCATCTTAAGGATGGAAGTCATCTTGTTATAAGGTCACGAGTGCATTTATGTTTGCTGCAAAATTTAAGTCAACTGTACTTTAACCTGTTCTGGAATTTGACATGCTCCCCACCCTATGGAGTTTGACTCACACCTTGAATATATCTTGATAGATAAGATGTTCTGCCAAATAATTTAAAAATCTTCAGTCGCATTCCCACAAGACCAAAATTCCTCTGGAAATCTCTGAACCCTTGAAAATCCTCTAATCTTACAGTCTTATGAACTATCTGAACCCTACCTTTCCTGTGTTTGGGGCTATATTTTCAAATCTAATTTTAGAGAGATAGCCTTGTCTGACAGAAAATAGAGTTTGCTTAAATTGAGCAGAGTCTGGGCAATGGTCTTGACTCTCATTTGGTGGGACAGACACCGTGATACCTCTCCTCCTGTCTCTGCCTCTCGACTACTAAGATTACAGTGGTTGGCACTATGACCAATTGTCCTGGCTGAACCTAGGGCTTCAATCAAAACTGAGCGGAATGGACATACTACCATCTGGTCGTTGTACTATGGAAACTTCAGGTGTTGGTCAGAAAAGAACGTTACAAGTGAATGAATTAGGGTTAGAGCAACAACACTTGATCACCAAGGACCTCCAGTTTCTAAATATAGTGTCTGTGGCAGGCAGGCATTGCACTTTGGTTATCCAAGGAACTTAAACAAACAAACAGACAAACAAACAAAACAAACGAACAAACAAGCCAGACTTCTGGCTGGAGTGATGCTTATGATTCCAGTTACTTGAGAGGCTGAGGCAAGAGGATCGCATCAAGAGTCTGGGGAACATAGATCTTGCCTCAAAAATAAAGAAGAAATCAGATCCTTAAGCCTTAGCCACAGACATTAAGTTTGAGCTTGTTTCTGAGTGAACAGAATTAGGAACCCTGTCTAGTCTACAGCTGCCACAGTCCTGGCTCGGTCATTCCCTTTCCATTATTTCTACGACACACGGTGTCTTCTCTCATTCTTCAGTTAATTTATGTGAGCAGCGGGTCTTTAAATAGGCCTAATGAAAGGCCTTCTATTTTACTAGAGCCTCTAAGAGTGGACTAATTTGGAACCCAGAGGAGCCTGTTAAAAGAAAGAAATGTGTATTTTTGTCTCCGGAGTATTTCCACACCCATGGCTTATCTTTAGAAAGCTTCCTCAGGCCTCAGGGAGCATAGTGAATAAACACCCAGCATTAGGTTGTGCATTTGTCACGGAGGGAGGGGTGGGACACAAAATACAGGAAAGCAGAACTGCTCTGCCCGGGGAGGACATTCCTAAAGGACCTTCTATTTGTGGAGCTGCTGTCAGCCAGGTCAGTTTCTAGGAGTGGGAATGCATGACAAAATCAAAAGTTGTCTCAGAGACAGACAGCGGCAGAGACACCCTCCCGGCTCAGTGTGCGGGCTAATTTCACAGCTGCTATTCTGGTGGCAATGCCTGCTTACTATTTATAAACCTAGACCAAGTGACGAAATGTTCTACTCATGCAAAGTGAAGCCACTCAAAGGCTTAGTGCAGTAGCTAGAACTTTAAAGTTTATGAGCATAGAGTATGGTAATTCCACATTAGAAACCAAACAAAATAGAAAAGGGAACTTTAAAGTTTCTAAGTGTGTAAAGGCAAGAATCAGAGTCAAGCTAATGTTCCTAAGGAAACAACTTAAAAGGCTGAAATGTAAGACGTCCAGGAAGAGGAGGGCGAGGGCTACCATTAGAAACCAATGGCAAAGAGATTCAACGCAATGCCCATCAAAATCCCAGCAAAATTCTTCAAAGACATCAAACGAACGGTACTCAACTTCATATGGAAAAGCAAAAAAATCAGGATAGCCAAAACAATCCTGTACAATAAAAGAATTTCTAGAGGCATCACAACCCCTGACTTCAAACTCTACTACAGAGCTACAGTACTAAAAACAGCCTGGTATTGGCATACAAGCAGACAAGAGGACCAATGGAACCGAATGGAAGGTCCAGATATCAACACACATCTTCAAACACCTGATTTTTGACAAGGAAGCAAAAAAATATCAAATGGAAAAAGAAAGCATATTTAACAAATGGTGCTGGCATAACTGAATATTAACATGTAGAAGAATGAAAATAGACCCATATCGATCACCATGCACAAAACTCAAGTCTAAATGGATCAAAGACCTCAACATAAAGTCAGCCACACTGAACCTTATAGAAGAGAAATTGGGAAGTACACTCGAATGCATTGACACAGGGAACCACTTCCTAAATATAACCCCAGCAGCACAGACACTGAGAGAAACAATTAATAAATGGGACCTCCTGAAACTGAAAAGCTTCGGTAAAGCAAAGGACACAGTCAACAAGACAAAGTGACAGCCTACAGAATGGGAAAAGATCTTCACTAACCCCACATCAGACAGAGGTCTGATCTCCAAAATATACGAAGAACTAATTGGTCATCAAAAGAATAAATAATCCAATAAAAAATGGAGTACTGACCTAAATAGAGAACTCTCAACAGAGGAATCTAAAATGGCTGAAAGAGACTTAAGGAAATGTTCAACATCCTTAGTCATCAGAGAAATGCAAATCAAATCAACTCTGAGATTCCATCTTACACCTGTAAAAATGGCCAAGATTAAAAACACTGATGACAACTTATGTTGGAGAGGTTATGGGGAAAAGGGAACACTTCTGCATTACTGGTGGGAATGCAAGCTGGCACAACCCCTTTGGATGTCAGTGTTGTGAATTCTTAGAAAATTAGGAAACAACCTTCCTCAAGACCCAGTAATACCACTTTTGGGTATATATCCAAAGGATGCTCAATCGTGCCATAAGGACATGTGCTCAACTATGTTCATAGCAGCTTTGTTTTTCATAGCCAGAACCTGGAAACAACCTAAATGCCCCTCAACCGAAGAATGGATAAGGAAAATGTGGTACATTTACACAATGGAGTACCACACAGCAGAAAAAAATAACGACATCTTGAATTTTGCAGGCAAATGGATGGAGCTAGAAAACATCATTTTGAGTGAGGTAACCCAGACCCAGAAAGACAATTATCACGTGTACTCACTCCTTGGTGATTTTTAAACATAAAGCAAAGAAAGCCAGCCTACAAACCACAATCCCAGAGAATTTAGATAACAATGCAGACACTAAGAGAGACTTACATAGATCTAATCTACGTGGGAAGTAGAAAGTAGAAAAACACAAGATCTCCTGAGTAAATTAGGAGCATGGGGACCTTGGGGGAGGGCTGAAGGGGGGAGAGGAGAAGCAGGGAGGGGAGCAGAAAAAATGTAGAGCTCAATAAATATCAGTAAAAAAAGAGAAACTAATGGCAAGAGAAGGATATGTGCAGCAAACAGTTATAAGGCAAGAACAAAACTGCATGAAAAAGGAAAATAAAATAAAATTAGGTCATAAGATTAACTTAGAAGATAACACACTGAGTGTTCCCCACAGAGGGGTAAACAGATTATATAAATGGAATATTATCTCTATAAAGAGGGATGAAGTTAGGATACATGAACAAGCCCTAAAAACATTAGCAAAATTAAACAAACCAAATAAAGGTAGTTATTGTGTACTTCTGCTCATCCAAAATGTCAGCATAGGCAAATTTATAGATAGAGGGAGTAGATTAGATGTCCCGGGCTGAGGGCAACATAAACTGTTGCGGGTATTTTTGCAGAGGGCCATATGATAGGGTTTTGGAAAACGTGGTTATAGTTGCATTATAATCCTGTGACTGTAACTAATGCCATTGAGTTCTACACTAGAACTGGCTAAAATGGCAACTTTCAAAATATATAATTTACCACAATTAGAGGAAGCCAAGACAGACCACACGAAAATCATCATGCAAGAAAATGATAAAATCATGCTGACATGTTGTTAGGTTAGCACCCTCGAGTGTAGTTGCAAGGAACCTCAGGAACACAACCGAAAAGTAGAGGATACTTGTCAACGAAGCGACAGAGCAAAGAGTCCAATTTCAAGTTAAGTATGACAACCATGTAGCGTGACATCAACACTTTGGAGAAGATCGAGGACTATTAATAACTACACAGGGATACACAGGGACAGCAGGTGCACAGCGGGCCTATCTCAGGAGGACTGGAACATGACGCTACTCTCCCTATGTGCAATCAGTTCCTCAAGGCTGAATTCTAGCCCGTACTCACGGTCTGGCAGAAGGGTAACAGCATTTTCTTTGAGGAACACAAGTTGTCAAAAATGCTTGATAGCTTTTCATTCCTTTTCCAGAGAATATACAACTACATGGCATTTACTGAAGTTTACGAGTCATACAAGAATTAGCATATTACTTAGGTTTTATTAAGAGGAATAATTTGTAGTAATTTTCGGTATAACATTCTGGTAATTTTAGAAATAGCTATATTTTAAAGCACATTTTCAGGCACAATAAATCCTGTGATCAATCAGTTTTTATGAATCTACATTTTTATGTACATCATTATAGATCTATAGATCCACATACGTTCTTTTGTACTCATACTGGTTACAGATATTTGAACCTGAAACATCTTAAAATCAAATTACAATTATTGAGAAAATTAGTAATGGATATCTTACCCACTATTTATGAACTAAAATTAATATTAATGGCCTACAAATAGGTTAACTTAAATATTTCATACCTTACATGAGAAGCTCCGACTCGGGACGTTTCTTGCTAATTCTGATATCTTGGATTTATTCTGCAGGTGATACTTTTTCAATCTTATTCTATTGTAATAATGGTTGCCGAAGTTACAGTAATTCTGTTTCTGCATGGATTTCCCAAGGTGAGGAATACTATGCTTCAAAGCTCGGAGAAATAATTTGGTCATCTGCTGCATGGTGGCAAAGTCCCTCATTTCTGACCCCTTCACATGTACGATGTCATATGTGTAACTATACGGTAATGGGATCACCACACCTTATCCCCGCTCTGGGAGTCATGAGCCCCTGAGGTCACAAACAATTACAGACATCTGATAGTTTAGGCTAAATAAACTGAAAAACTTGTATGAGTTACAGTTCATTCAAATCATGCTTCTTGGCAGGTCTGACTTAAACACGTCATTTGTAAGGTCAGTTTTACTAGGTTGAGGCTAAGCAGCAATGGTTCTGGTGCAGATATGGACAAACTAAAACAAAAAACAGAAAACAAGAAACAAAATAAAAATGTGCAAATAAGTAATGACTTCATGGGAATCTCAGGAACTGAGGGTGTTCCAAAGCAAAACGGCTTTTTACCTTACTTAATTTAGGGCATATCACTGGTTTGTGTGTGAAAGACAAACATGAAAAATCTGAATTACTTAATAAAGGAGGGGGATTAATATTTGTTGAGTGCTGGCCAGATGCCAGATATTTTTCATCTGTTCGTCTAATTTAAGTTTCATGTATTCTTAATGAAGAAATGATGTCATTCATTTAACAGGTGACCCAACAGTGGCTCTGGGAAGCTTCAGAAATTTCCTCAAGTCACCTGGCAGAAAGTCCAATTGATTTGCTGCCTCATCTTGCACAGGAGTTATTGAACTTAACCATAAAAGGATAAAAAATAAATAAATAAACCCACAAGATGCACAAATAAAATGTGGAGTCATCTTTGGTTTCTGCTGGAAGGTAAGTTCATTATAACAGCCATAGCCAGAGACCCAGGTTCGGGCTTTGGGCCTTGCCTCTCGGTCTCAGTTTCTTCACTTGCAAAACAAAATATAACCACGCCACTTTACTGTCTGGAGTTGTAGTTTTGTAACAAAACCAGAAAATTTATGTTAAGAATTTAGTACAAGTACCTGGCACATGGTAACCACTCAACACAAGGTTTTTAATATATTAGCATAGTAATAATTTAGGTATGTTGAACACTGTTGGGTGTAACGAGAGAATCCTTCTGTAACACGTTTCTTGGCAGCACAGAACCACCATCAGTTTTTACCACAGCTATGACGCCCCCTCCCTCCTTAAATTTTTTTATGTCGCAGCAAAATGACGGACCAGTGGAGCAGCAGCCTAGAAGAAAACTGCCCCTAAATCGCTTAATTTGTTCCCATATCCTCAATCCATTTATCCACCACCTGCATCAAGACAGTGTGCAAGGAAAGGGATACGGGTGGGGTAGACAAATGGGTGTTCCCAGGAGAACCTACTCGTTTCCCTGTGCAACTGTGCATCCCAGGGCGTGAGGGAATGGTACCAGTTACCACGCACAGAGGAGACAGGGATCAAAAGGGGGACCAGAGAACTAAGGAACGGCTGGAAGGTGGTGGGGAGAGGAATTAGGAAAGCGGACCCTCCGGCAACCCTCCCATACGTACGCAAATTGAAAGACAGGCCGGAGCTGGATACAAACGAGTGAAGGCAGAGAAGACAAATACGAGAACCCGAAGCTCTCAAGAAGGAGGTGCAGTCACCTCAGCCTCGTCCACCCGAAGTCTGCATTCAGCACCCAGCAAGAAGAGACAACCTAGCTCGCGCCGCCCAGAGCTAGTTTGCAGCACGCCGGTCTACGTAACACTAATCCAGCCCGAGGGTGAAGCACATTTCTCCATCTTTGTTATGGTCAGAGGTTGGAATTTTTCTCTTCTGGATTTACTAGTCTTAAGAGACCCCTATTTTTTGTTTTTTTGGTATTCTAACGAGCAAGAGACAAAGTGAGAAGGACGAAAACAGTGAGGAAACCCCTCTCTGTAACGATTTCATAGTTCCCTCCCACTCTGGCTCGCCCTCACTAAAGATGGCTACCAGAAAATTGGTGCAATGACGTGACGTCGCTGTCCTGGTTGCCAAGGAGACGCGAATACCGGAAATGCGGAATTCGGGGAGGGCGCACGCAAGGGCTGTGGGCCAGAGGCCGGGCGTCACAGGTCCTGACAGGGAAGAAGTTGGCAGGTCCTGACTGGATAGAGTTGTGGCGGAGGCACCTCCGCGTCCACCCAGCTCTGGGGATGAATTCGCGGGTCGCGGCCGCTGGGGCTGGAGGGACTGAAACAGACGCGAGCGAGGGTCCCGTGATTGGAGGTGCCAGTCAGGGATCGACGGTCTCGGTGCCCAAGGGGGTCGCCCGGTGGAAGCTCCTCCGACAGGTAAGGGCGACCGTTGCCTCTGGCCACTCCCCTCCCAGGTACCGTGCGCTCCGACGGCGCTCAGCCCCGGGACGCGACTTCCCACTTTGTCGGGAGCCAATCGAGAAGCGTCCCTTGTTTCACCTACTGTCCCACCGAAAAAGGGAGGATCTGACGGGGTTGGCTGAAAGCGGGACAGTCCTAGCTGAGGTCCCGGAAACTCAGATCCAAGCAGATTTCTTTTGCTCGCCCGCCTGATGAGTGGGACCGCCTCTCCTCACCGCGCGCTGCTTTCTACCTGCTACTTTTCAGTTGGGCTTGTGGTCACCGACTTCCACGGCGCACCTTAGGGTCCTCCATTTCTGGAGATCTGCGTGGTTGATTGATGTGACCCTGCACGCGTTTCCACACAGGAGAGTAAAGGGAGCAGGCAAAGTTACTGCATTCTCTCTTCCCGCCACGTGAAAGTCAGGCGTTTATCTTCTAAGCTTGAAGTAATTAGTGTGGGGGTGGGGGGGGGGAGATACTCGCTGCCCAACATGGACCAACGAATCCAAATAAGAGCTGTTGTGTGCCTAGTTTTCCTTGGTCATTATGTCACAGCAATTGAGAAGTAACTAAGACACCGTCTCAGGGCACTGGGTCCTTACTGTGTTATTTTACTTAGCTATTGCTATTAACAAACGACCACGATGTCATATGTCGTAACTTCTTTGAACCACATGGTAGTTTATTGATAAAGGCTGTGATCATCTGGGTGCTTTAATGCTGTGTATTTGGTCTATATACCTAGAATTCTTAGACTAGTTGGCTGACATCTTCTCACGGTTATGGTGGAAGTATAAGAGAGGCACATTTAAAATCCCCGCTTACACATCCAGGGCTTGGAGTTGGCACATCCCAACATCTACACCATGTATGATCTGCTGGAGTGTGTGAAGGGATTAATCCTGAGGAACCCTAGCTTCAAGATCTCCATGACAGGGACGACAGTAGGATCTGAGAGAAGAAAGTCAGTGGTGGTGATTCTCTCTCTTTAGCTTTTTTCTTTTTTCTTTTTTAAATTATTATTTTTTAACATCCAAGTTGTTAAGCTCTGTCTTCATGTACACCTGCAGGCAGAAGAGGGCACCAGATCTCATTACAGATGGTTGTGAACTACCATGTGCTTGCTGGGAATTGAACTCAGGACCTCTGGAAGAACAGCCAGTGCTCTTCACTGAGTCATCTCTCCATCCCTACCTGATGTCTCTTAACATGCTGTATTACTTCCTTGTATTATTAGTGTGACAAAATATCAGGCAAAGCACTTTGAGAAGGGAGGGTTTGTTCTGGTGCACAGTTTGATGGCGCAGTCATCATGGCGGGAAGAATCAGGCAGCAGGAGCCGGAAGCACCCACCACACTGTGTTAGCGCTCAGGAGGGAGAAAGCAATGGGCGAATACTTTTCTTTTCCTCTGTTTATTTAGTTCCTACCTTCCTTCCATTTATTTAGTTTAAGACTCGGCCCATGAAATGATGATACCACAATCAGAGCATCTCCTCACCTCAGTGAACACAATAAAGAAAAGTCTTTACAGGCGTGCCAAGAGGTTAACCTAATATAGATAGCCCCTTATAGACATGCTCAGAGCTCAGAGGCTTCTTAGGTCCTCTAGTTCTTGTCAAGTTGATAATCACTATAAGCCATCACGTCACAAGACTTTTAGCTAAAGGACAATGCCTCGCTAAGGGCAAAAGTCACAGTGTAGGAAACAACCCTCCCTTTTGAGCTGGTATGGAAGAAGTGAATTTCTGTCTGTAGTGATTCAGTCTCTCACAATAGGGTAAGCATTTATGGGCTTTTTAGGAAGTGTTTAAAATGGCTAAGCCATTCATGAGTGTCTCATCTGTATTTGAAGGCAGAAAGCTTGAAGGATCTGATCAAGGTTAGGAATGTGTGACTCTTAGTTGGCAGTGTAACTCAGTGGTAGAACATTCTGCATGTGTAAAGCCCCTGGTTTTGATCTTTACCACGGGGTGGGTGTGGGTGGGGAGGGTTCTTTCTTTTGTGGCACATTTTTGTGATGTGGGTTTATTTTTGCTTGTTACCCACCCCCATCCCAACTTTGTCTTTTGGTACTCCCCAGGATTCCGATGATGTCTTATGGTCCTTTATATTAACTGCTCAATGCTTACTCTGAGAGGAAACCTATTTGATTATTTTTGCTAGGTGTTGCGATAAATTGCTGACTTTGGGTTCTAGTACCTACCCTAAATAGGTGAGATCTATAAGTCTGTGTATGTTCAATAGCTAATGTTACAGATACTTTCCTTTTTATTGAATCTCATCTGATAGCAATGACGATCATGTGCAATTTAGAGGTCTCAATGTCTATCCAGTTAGGAATGCTGAAGAAATGATGTATTTTTCCTAACAAATAACTTCTTCCAAAGGCCCCTGGTAAGCTACATTTTGGCCAACTGCTGCGCCTAATTAGAATGGAGCGCTTTGGCTCATCTGAGTCATCAGCATACCTACAATCCCACCAGAATTACATAAAAAAGAAGAGTTGCCAAAGGGAAGGGGTGCACACACTGGCTCACAATCCCTACCGAATGAAATCGTGTACCTGCAGGGCACATGCCTGAAGAGTCTGATTGCTAGAAGGTCTCCTAGTTCAATTTAAAGCAGGGTTAGAGCGTCAGTGTTAATTGAGACCCTGGATTTTAGGCTCAGGTCTGCCCTTGACTTTGATGAACACTTTATTGGACATCAGTTTTTCATTGTAAGTGAAGGAATGAGGTTAGTTTTATTTCAGACTGTTCCACTGCCAATTAAAATGAAATGATCTTTCTATCTCTAATCCCAGGTTTCACTGGAATCTAGATTTCATTGTAATCTGTAGAGACTTTTAGATTGCTTCTTTCAGATTTTTTTTTTGTTTCATTAATGTCTGCATTGATTGTCATTATTTCTTGTTTCCTAGCACTTTTAGATTTGGCTTTTTGTTGCTGTTGTTGTTTATGAGACAGGGTTTTTTTTTTTTGTGTGTGTAACCTGACTGTCCTGGAACTAGCTCTGTAGACCAGGCTGGCTTGGAACTCACAGAGATCCACTTGTCTCTGCCTCCAGAGTGCAAGGATTAAATGCATGCACCACCACTGTCCAGTAAGACTCTTTTTTTTTTTAATTTAATTTTTTAAACCAGGTGGATGGTGGTGGCGCGTGCCTTTAATCCCAGTATTCAGCAGGCAGATCTCTGTGAGTTTGAGGCCAGCCTGGTCCACAAAGTGAGTTCCAGGACAGCCAGGACTGTCTTATACAGAAACCTTGTCTTGAAAAACAAAACAAAACAAAACAAAATACTTATTTTTGAATTATTTGTAAAAGAGTGGGGTTGTGATGTGTATTCAAGAGCACAGGTACCCTTGGAGGCCAGAAGAGGGCATCAGCTCCCTTGGAGCTCCTGTTACAGGTCCTTGTGAACCACCTCACACCGGTACTTAGCACAGAACACAGGTTCTGTTCTTAACCACTGAGCCTAGCTCTTGGATTATTTTTGCTCGTTTAAGACCTTGGGTTGTAGAAATCCAGTATGGAGAAGGGGAAATGGACAAAAAGTTCCACCCTAAACAAGAAACTATTTGCAGTTAATAACCTGCCGGGGAAGAAACTCAGTTTCCCCCAATGAAGTGCCACTGGGCATATCAACCACACCCACATCCAGAACCAGAAGGCCAGCACAAAATGAACTCCATGTTTTTCTTGCATGCTTTTTGTTTGGTTATTTGTTTTATTAGGTTTTGTTTGTTATTGAACTGTACATACTCAAAACTCAGTAATTATCATAGAATTGGAAAATCAATATAATCATGTTAATTACATCATTTATAATTAAACTAATTAAATATAAAAATTTAGAAACACACACAAGACTTTGAGTTGCATCGTTAGTTTATTTAACTTAATTTTGGAGACAGAGTTTCACTAAATAGCTCTGCTCTCCTGGAGGTCTCTCTGCAGACCAGACTGGCCTCAAGCCACAGAGCTCCTCCAGGCCCAGCCTCCCGAGTGCCATTCATCATTACGCCTTTTTTTGGGTTTGTTTATTAATGTAAGCACTCATAATTGACTATCTGTTAGCCCAAGATTCTAGAAGCTCACTTTCATTTTTATTTATTCTTTTAATTAAATAAACTAAATATTTAAAATTTCTACCGTGATTTCTTCAATGACCCTCTGATCATTCAAGAGTATTTTTTGGTCTTTAAGTTTGTTAAAATCATAAGTAATTGTTCTCACTGTATTTTGATTTGGTTCATTGACTTTCTAATGTCCCACACTTCTTCTTCTTCTTCTTTTTTTAAAGGCTTATTTTTAAGCCAGGTATGATGGTACACACCTTTAATCCCAGGGTTTGGGAGGCAGAGGCAGGTGGGTCCCTGAGTTTGAGGCCAGTCTGGTTTACAATAGTGACCCTGTATTGAAAAACTTATGTATATATATTTTGGTTATATATACACACATTATATGTATAATTATATAATGTAATATGTAATCATATATGTAACCAGAATATATATTTATACTATATAAACATACAACACATATATACAAGGAATATATATATTTTCTGGAAGAATTTGTCTTCTATGTTAGTAAAATTTTCATCATATTGCTGATTTTTATCCTCTGTTTCTTTTTGTGTTGCTTTCTTCTTCAGATCCTGAACTGAATTTTTCTGCTTTTGTCTTCTTTGATATCACCATTACTTTTGCTAGTGGATTACTGTTGCAATTTCCCCCCAACATTTTATCTAGCTCTGAATTCAGTGAAAGATTGTGATCTTTTGGGGAAGTCATGTTGCCTTGCCTTTTAATATTTCTGATGTTTCTGTGATGTAATTTGTAGATCATTGCTTTGAATGTCTCTTCCATTTGTGTTTGGAGATCTTGTTGAGCAGCCTATTCCCAAGGCTTATTTTGTCCAAGGAGGGGAAAATAAATGATAACAACTACAGAATCAAACTGCAAAAGATAGGAAAGTTGATTGAAATGGCCAATAGTACACTGACAGTGACTGTAAGCCAAAGACTAAGAAAACTGCTGTAAAGTTATACATGTAGGCTAAATGTAGAAATACTAGGTGACTAGGAAAATGAAGGAGGCAGTGAAGAGGAAAACAGAAGACAAGTTTGATAAACAGAAAGGAAGGAAGAGATGTGCAGAATGTAAGTTACACAGGAGAAGAGTGGTGTGGAATGTCCTTCTGTCTGTGTGTTGCTTTTATTGGTTAATGAATAAAGATCTGGCTTGGCCTATAGCATGGGAAGAGAAGGGTGGAGTCGGAGAAACTCAATGGAGACAGATGTGCTGAAACTTTGTTGGTAGGCCATGACCTAGTGGTGATGCACAGATTAATGGAGATGGGTTAAATTAAGATGTAGGAGTTAGCCAATAAGAAGTTAGAGCTAATAGGCCAAACAGTGATTTTATTAATACAGTTTCTGTGTGATTATTTTGGGTTTAAGCTAGCCGGGCGGGTGGGAACCAAACAAGCAAACAAGTGCCCCCTCCTTCTACAGATGAGAGTAATTATTAGAAAAGATTAAAAAAGATTCCCAATAAACAGAAAACTGGAAAATAAAATATAAGAAGGGGAATAAAAATACAAAATTTAAAATAAACAATTTAAAATTTCTTTAAATGGGGGCTATAGAGATGGCTGTACAGAAAAGAGCCTGACTGACCTTTCAGAGGACCCAGGTTCAATTCCCAGCACCCTCATAGCAGCTCAGGGAATCCAATACCTTCACACAGACATACATACAGTCAAAACACAAATGTACATGAAATAAAATTAAGTAAAAAATAAATATGCTGGGTAGTGGTGCATGCCTTTAATCCCAGCACTTGGAAGGCAGAGACAGGTGGTGAGTTTGAGACCAGCCTGGGCTACAAAGCAAATGTTTTAGATGAAGTTAGTAGCATGTATATCAAAATTGGAATGATAATTAGCATGGCTTCGAATAAGAATGATACATAAATTTGAGAAGTTTTCTATATTGGAGAAAATAAAAAGCAAAGTCAAATTACTACTGAAAAACCTTCAAAGAGGGTCTGTCGGGGTCTGGGACCAACCTGGACCTAAATTATTTCTCGGACCAGAGAGGAGTCATAGGAATAATTAAGACAACTGACATGCCTTTATCAAGAGGGAGTTTTCAGGGTTCCCTCATGAAATCTTGAGTTCTCATCCTGAAAATTCACCCCTGTTTATTCTCCAAACAGCTTTTACATCAAAAGGTAAACTGAGGGGGAAGTTCGTTAGCATTCTGTTTCCTGGATAGCAGGACTTAGGTCATGTCTGCAAGTATGGCTGCTCTGTCAGGGAGACTGACACCTCTTAGGCGATCTCCCATAATCACAAAGTGGGAGCAGAGCCACATTAGCACATCCGGACCCTTTGTTAGGATGACGTCAGTTTGTCTGGAAAGGCCAGGTGCAAATTGTGGCCTGAGAGTCTGGCCGCCAGACAAATAGAAATATGGGCCTGTATAATATGGCCCTAAAAGGGTCAAAAAGAAATTGGGAAGAAGACACAGAAGACCTGAAAAAAGAAAAAGATTTGGTTTGGTGCTGGAGATCAGCTGTTAAGAAAACTGGGTTTGATTCCCAGCACCTACGTGGCTGCTCACTACCATCTGTAACTCCAGTTTCGGGGGGTGGGGGTCTGTTGCCCTCCTCTGACCTCCACAGGCAACAGTCACACACCTGATGCACAGACATTCATGCATGCAAAATACCCATACACCTAAGATAAAAATTAGAAAAAAAAGATTGTACAGAAATGAGAAACATTAGATAACTGTATGAAGCATAGTAGGAAACAAAGCCTAGTCATAAAAACATTGCTGAAGAGTGTGATGAAAGAGTAGGAAGTACAGTTTGCAAAAGAAGGAGAAAGGATGTTGGAGTAGTTGGGTCCTCAAGGACTGGAGAGTTCTGGTTATATGCAGAGATGAGGAGTGCAGGGGGTAAGTAGTGCCAGTCAGACTTCTGGGCTCCTGGCTAGATATGCTGGGAATATAGCAGAATGGTCTAGGCTCTTAGTTCTGTGCTTGGGGGCCAGGGGTGGTGGTCAGTTGAAGTTCTAGACTTTCGGTTATATGCACTGTGAATACTGTATTTTGATTGCATTGAAATTATCACATCTATTATTAATACATTGTCTCATATTCAGTTTGGCTGCTGGATCCTATACATATACATACACACTACACACACATTCCAGGCTCATCTTGTACAATTCCTGCCATCTCTCCTGGGGGGGGTCTCACATTGTTTTCATAGAAAATAATATTTAGAGACAACAGTGTGGGCACTGAGTATGCTAATTGCTACAAGTTTGATCACTGAACTTTGTAGTGGTGGTCAGTGAAATTACCTGGCGCGAGTGAGAAGGAGACACGGAACACCAACAAACCCGCTTAGGAGTTTATTAGAGGGAAATGTGTACAGGCCTGGTGATCGATGTGCAGAGAGAGAGAGGAAGATGGCATATCCAGCTTTTAAAAGCTGCCTTGCACATGTACACGGGGGGGGGGGTGACTATGTCACACTGATGACGCATGTGCGCAAGGGTTTAGCGGAGTCATACGTGGATGTAACCACAAATGTGCGCATGTGGGTCACACCGGGCCCTTCGTGCCCAAGGACCTGTCTTCATGTACCTCCCTTTAGAACCTGGAAGTGCAGTCTTGTCTATGACTGAATAATTACAGTCAGACATATATATTTTAAATTGTAAGGCAGAAAATATAAGCCTTCAGTGTTTGTTTTATACTTCTATTTGGATGTGGAGCTGTAGGTTTTTGCTAAAACTCATTAATCTTACAGCTCTCTTTCCTTCCTCCATATATGGAAAACTAACACTATAAAAGTAGTCATTTGATTTATCCTAAAACAAACACATGTACACACATGCACACTCACACATGTGCACATCCACAAACATACATATGCTGTCCACGCATATACTGGCACACACACACATACACATACATTCACACATACATACGCTGTGCGTACACGTACATGTACATACACAGTCATATAATAACATGCCTGCTCTAGTTCTGGCCATTAAATATGTTCCTTGTTTTCTCACTTCCTTCAACTAACAAATGTCCAGGAGAATAGTGAATATAAAAGCCTTGTTAACTCTGGGTTTTTTCTCCTTTTTAAGATATCAGACTCTTAAACTGTTACTGTCTTCACTGCTCCCAGTGCCTTCACATATGCTGATGTGTTTTGTCTGTCCTCCTCTGAATTAGTCTAAATAATCCAGTACACTATTATTGGGACCTAATCTTATACCATGTGTAATTTAACCCCAATATTTGATTTCATTTCAAAGGTTTTGAAGCAGAAACAGCTGGATGACTGTCTGAAACATGTCTCTGTGAGAAGATTTGAATCATTTAATCTGTTCTCAGTCACAGAAGCCAAAAAAAGGGAAACTGAGGAAGAGGCTGGTGTGTGGGTCCAGTACACAAGCATCCTTTATCCCGAGTACAGCATCTCCTTGCGGTGAGTGCTCTTCTAGTTCAGGTTTGAAGAAGGAAACCGTGCGCCAAACAGCCCTGTATGCCTGCTGTGACTTTGCAGCAGTCTTTGTTAGAACTCAGCTTTCAACTTGATGTTGGAAAGTCTACTGCCTTAGACAGAATATCTTATGCTTCTGTTTCATAAAAAAAAACAACCCACAGGTTTCAAATGAAAGCAACAACTTTAAAACATACTTTTGAAACCTTCTAAAAATATAAACAATTTGGCTCAAATCACTTAATTGAAATATAGCTCTCATTGTAGTTTAGCTCATTGCTGCTTTATTTCTAAAAACACCTTTTATATTTATTGTATGCAAATATCATTTATCATATTGTTTGCAAGTTTGTACTCTTGCAAAAATCAACATCTAATAGAGACATGCTGGTTTACTATCTTAGTGTTCTATTGCTGTGAAGACCAAGACCAAGGCAGCTCTTAGAAAACAAAGCATTTAACTGTCTTCTTACAGCTTCAGAGGGTTGGACCATTATCATCTTGGTGAGAAGCTGACAGGCATGGTGCTGGAGCAGTACCGAGAACTTTACATCCTGATCCACAGGCAGCAGACACAGAGAGACCACACAGGGCCTGGCCTGGGCTTTTGAAGCCTCAAAACCGCCTCCAGTAATAGATCTCCTCCAACAGGGCCACATACGCGGCCTAGGTCACAAGGCCTAATCCTTTTCAAGCAGTTCCAGCAGCCCAGGACCAAGCATTAAAGTATCTGAGCCTATGGGGACCATTCTCATTCAAACCACCACATTTAACTGAGATTCAAGCTTCATGCAGTGTTTTTAAATAAACTCTGAACTTTTAGAAGCATGAAAAAAAATTAAAAAGAAATCTGCTACCTTTACTAGGTCTTGCTGTGTTGTCAGACAAGAAAAATAATTCATTTAAGGATAAAGTGGGTTGCAAACAAGGGGTTCATTTAACTGTTCTCTCAGCCTTGGATTTTGACAAAAAAGCCAAGTTCTTTGGGGTGAAGAAGACTAAGTAAAAAGAGGATTTTTTCCAAGCTATACTTCAAGTAGTAGTTATCTGAAAATTGAGCTTTGGTATTTTTCCCATTTATGTTTTGTCATTCTCAGAATAGAACCAGAAAAAAATAGGAGAAGAAGCTTCAGCTGAAGCTATGGGTCTTCTGAGAAGCATGCAGACTATTGTTGTTTTTAAAATTATCTATTCAGAGATAAGAGGGTTGCAAACTGAAGTAGCAAGATCCCACTGTAACTGAATGAATTTCCCTCCTACTTATATCCTGACATTTTGCAATAATACTGTAGTTGCTTCATTTTTATAAAAATCTGCCATTTGTGACAGGATTTCACATTTCTGGGGGAGAGGGGGCACACATTGGTATCAACTATAAGAAAAGCAAAAAGTGTCTCGAGTGGTAGTGTGACTGAACATGGCCTAGACGAGGCCAGGAGTGATGTTAAGAGGTCATTGTCATGAAGGATGCCTGTTTGCAGCACTTTAGGTTGAGGTTTCTAAATTTTCAAAGGTGCCAAAATAGCTAACCATTCGGGTAATTGACTCGGTTGAGGGCAAAAGAACAGGTGTAAGCATCTGAGCTTTTTTTGGTTTTTCATTTATTTATTTATCTATTTATTTATTTTTCTGGCACAGGGTTTCTCTGTGTAGCCCTGGCTGTCCTGGAACTTGCTCTGTAGACCAGACTGGTCTCCAACTCACAGAGATCCGCCTGCCTCTGCTTCCCAGGTGCTGGGATTAAAGGTGTGTCACCACTGCCCAGCTAGGATCTGGTTTTTAAGTACTTGTTTTATTGACAGCACCAATTAAAAGACATGAAGTCAGTGACTTGAGAACTTGCCTTTACATTCGTATGAAATTCTAACTAGAGTGTGGCAGTCCCTTTCCTTTCCTTTCCTTTCCTTTCCTTTCCTTTCCTTTCCTTTCCTTT